TTCCAACCTTAATGATTCTGTGAACTTCTCATTGGGCATCTGTTACTGGTAATAAGTGGCCCACCCAGATAATTTTTAAAGCTGAGGAAACAATTGTTAACCTCACATCTTCAAACTCCATCTTCAAGACCAAGGGGTTAGTTAGCAGGCTAAATAGCATGGCAGACTTTAGACTGCCTTCCTTTGCTCTCAATTAGATATGAATAATCCCTTTAATTCTAAACTCCTGCTCCTGTAGGAGGATGTAGTGAGGTTCACAACTTCCCCCCCTCATATCACAACATGCATTAATAAATATATTAGTACAGTACATACACTAACTCCTTGTAGCTTGTCAGTCTTCTTAGCCTATTTCTAGTTGTAGGACAGCCAAGTCTTCCAAGAAACTCACTTCTGAAAATTTATTTTACCATATAAAATGGTAAAATAAACTGGGTAAACTTTACATAATTTGTCAGTATACTAGAGAAGGGCTGCAACAGAATCTCTGTAACCATTACTGGCCTCCAACAGGTCATGGTTCAGAATTTCCAGAATCAGAACAGGATGGGCTTAATACTATAATATAATAGCCTCTCCTGTGGCTAACCAGCCACAAGATTATCAGCTCTGACAGGAATTCCCCCCCAACAGTCCACCTGACAAACATCTCAAACCAAATCCTGGCTGAGCAACTTCTCATTTCTGTCATGCACTTGGTATAACGTCAGCCTGTATTAGAGTGTCAAATGCCATGTTACTTTGCACTTGCCATCCTTTCACAGTAGCAAAAGAGGGGGAGCAGGTACCTGTTTTCCCCTACCAATCTCAGACCCGTTGTGGGATTCCACTCTACCACTACTCAGTATTATCCAGGAATACCAGTGTAAATTTCGGTAACAGAATCACAGGAACACTCATCCCTCAGCAATTACCTGCTTTTTCTTTGTCAGCTATTTGTTATGTTTTTCTTCATAGTGGCTGGCTTTATTGCTTTTGGTGGGAATGACACTCTGTAGGAAGACAGAGAATGTGAAAAAAACCCAACTCTGTCTCACATCTGCTGTTCCCTGGTCCAAGACACATAGGACTTCATATTAGCTATTATATACATTTCTAATTGATGTTTTTGTAGGACTCTCAACTTGTATTTCTCAAAGGTCTTGTCTCAGTGGGGTTCTGGTACACGACTAGAATATAATGTATGCAGAGTCACACATTGTTTGCAACCAGTCTGGTTTTGATGCTACCTTAAGTTTTTGTCACTGCTAACTTACTTCATGGTCTTCATTGTCAGGTTGTTGATGTTCCATTTAGCTTGACACTTTTACCCACTTGGTAAGTTTCTTCCTCCATGAAAAAGCAGTTCTTATGCAATCTTTTCTGCCAGTTTTCTTGAGGCTATGTTTATTAAACTCAGTTTTGATCCATGGGACATTAGACTTTTTCACCAGAACAGGCTTAGTGCTAATTCAATGCAAACTTCATAGGTCTCCTACCTGGTGCACTTTGGTTATGCTACTGGTTGAAGATGGCTCATTTTAGCATAGGATGCACTGGAAAGCCACTTACTTCCCTTAGATACCCTGATAATATGTGTGGTCTTTACAGAGCCAGCAGGACAGACAGACTCTCTCACCAACAGCCAACTCCAAGAGTTGTTCTTACCTCAGGAAAAAAACCCTCACTGGAGCCCCAGAACAAGGAAACCTTCATCTGCTTTTGAAATAAAAGGACCAGGTGCCTTCTCCAATGACAGAAAACCTGAGTACAGAAGAGACTTCTACATGACCAAGCAGATACTATAAATATTGAAGCTATTTCTCCCATCTGAAAGGAAACAGAACTAGCTATGCCAACAACCTGGTGCAACATAATCCTATATAGATATAAGAAAGTTTTGGATTCTTCCCACCTCCTCCTTTCTGCTTTAATTTTGGGAAAGGCTGCTTAGGCAGTTCCATTCTAAGTCATCACTTGTAGTCGCATAATCTAAAACAACAGTACAGGTAGAATTTCTGAAGATGAGATCTTCACTTCATAGATCTTCACTTGAAGATGATGCAAGTTCTAAGCAAAATAGTTCAGTCTTAGAAAAAATACTTCCATTATATAAAGCCAAATATAAAAATAAGGTTTTGCCTTATGATATGCTTCAATTGTGATATACTCCAATAGGCCTAAGCAGAAATTAATACAGGAAAAAGGATCCATACCTGGCTATTTCTATCCTGTGTTCTTTGAATCACCTTTGTTTCTTTTAAATAGCAAACTTGACAAAATAGAATGCTAAAGAACGACACTCCCACAAGACTTAAAGGAGTAGAATCATGGGAGGTTTCTGCTGAGCAAAGCTCAAGGATAGGAATGCTGCAGCTTCTAAGCTTTCTATCTTTAAACACTTCATAGCGATACAATCTTTAAAAGGAAAAGAGCTTTCTTTTTACTTTATCATTGTAAGGCAGCATTAAACACCCTGAACAGATGAGTAAAAGATGAAAGATTGCTGTAGAAAACTGTATACATTATGATGTCTCAACTTTGCCAGTCAGTGACAAAAAAGCAGAACGATGATTACTTTTCCCTCGGTAAAAGATACAACAGTGCCACCTGCGGCTTTTCCACGGTATCCCTTGCCTTTTGAGACAGCTGCAGAAAGCTGAAGTTCGTACTTCGCAATTAGAAAATAGCCAGCTCTTGCTAAGCCTTCCTCCCTCACTCCAACACTGGGTTCTTCTACCAGGTTACACATCTACAGTGACATTTCAGTCACTAGTAAAGCTGCACAAAGGAAAAAAATGTCATCTTTGAACTTGCTCTACTGCAGCTGAAGCCTCAAGATAGACAAAAGGCTGAATTACAGAAAAATCAGGGTTTTTTTTACCCTGAGAGCAGGAGTTTCTTTGACCTTACATGTCAGCTTTCCACAGCCACTACGTGTATGCAACTCACAAAGTTTCAAGCTGAAAGCAATACCATATTGCACCAACTGTAAAGACTGTCTGCAGGGCGAGAATCCCCAACTGTTTTTTTGAGTGTTCTTCCATTCATTTTGCATTACCCCTTTATCACACCAGAAAATAAGTATCAATAACGCACTTCTAAGCAGTGTCACAGGTCATTCTCTATAATCAACATGCCTACCCAGCAGTTTATCTTCTGTTCCTACATGCAACATTCATTTAATCCAAGGGTCAGCAGTGATCAGGACTATTAATATTCAAGCATTGTTAAGACAGAAAGAGCACTTAAGGACTTCTTACTTCTGTTAAAAAGAAACCAGTACTCATGCACATCTTACTTATCTAGATTATCCTCTGCTGGTGGAGAAAGTGGCAATTATAGTTCATTCCAACATAGCAAAGTACCAATCAAACAAGACTTTACAACTACCTCATCTTTCATTAGCAAAATACTCTGTAAGCTGGTTTACAAAAGGAAGCAGGATCCCCAATGGCTCAGGCTGAAAAATGTGCAGGGAAGTATTTCAACAAGAGTCACATACGATTCAGTACTCTGTCTTTAAAAACAACCTACTTGACTCTTAATGAGAACCCCGGAAAATTCCAAAAGGTCAGTCATAGTGTACGGAACTACGTAAAATTCTAGGCATGTTTAATTACCTCAAAAATCAATATACTTTGCTGGTAAGTAAATATTCCTAAACAGTCCTTACATGTTGTATCTTATTAATCACAGATCCTATTCATGGTTTGGACTCAGCAGTGGTCTACTAAAAACAGTCGTAAGACATGCAAATATTAGTAATGAAAACATCAATACGTCTACAGCTGAAATCAAGGTCCCAAGCTAAAGGGAGAGAGTTCTCTCCGTGGCTCATGAGGTGAAAGCTTAAAAATGTGTATGAGTGTTCATAATAGAATCTTTGGAAGCAAGTTTCATTGTTTATACTACTGCTCAGTGTCTAAAAATTTTCCTCACTATGTAACTAAATTACCAACCATTCACTTTTAAGAAACACTTATTCTGAGCTCACTTTCTCTTTAGAATGAGTAAGCATTTAAGGCAACTAATTTCTTTTCAGGCACAAAATTAGAAATTTTTCACTGGTTCTGAATATCAAGAGAGCAGTTACCTAGTGCCATAATCAGATGGTCATATGAATTCATACTTTGCTGTGATATTTCAACACAGAGCTATGGATCTGCTAAAAAAGTATTCACATGACTCAGTGCAATACACTTCTAACAGTAAATATATAAAAGACATTAAGGTATTCTAGACATTTATTTTTCAGCGTACAGTATCATACATTTAAAATGAAGAAATAAGACCCAAATATCATAAAAGATGTATACAGTGTTTGCTAGACAAATATTTGACTAAGAACAAAGCATATTCAAGCCCATACTTCATGGAGTTACAATGAAGTTCAAGCACATAAACAGGAATAGTTTATTGTTTAATGAATTACAACTCTTTTGGTCTGTTTAACAGAAAACGAACCAACTGAAGCAGAACTTCGTCATTAAAGCCTTTCACACTACCGTCTTCCACAACGTCATACAATGGTTTACTGTCTGTACCCCAACAGATATTTTTCCGAGGGTTATTTTGAATAGTTTCTGCAGTTAGCGCTAAAGTATTTAGCTGATAACAAAAGAAAGCGAAGTATTTTCCATCAGTCACTACTGCCTGCGACACAAAAGGATGGGTCACATCTGCTTCACTCCAGAATCCTACAAAATAAAGAAACAATGCTAGTTATACAGGACTCAAAACTCCTATCAGCACGCACACCTAAACCTCAATACTGAAATATGGAAAAATACTGGGAATTGCAGCAGCCACTTAGTAGGGGAAAAAGGGCTGTCTGCTTTAGCAACACAAGCATTCTTCATAGCGACTAACTAAAATGCAACCACCAGTTTAAGGGTATTTCCTTAAATCAGGGACACAGTGGCATATTGCATTTTGTACATAGTTCCATATTGCTGACTGATAAAAACCTGACACTGATCAGTCAAGTCCTGCAAGTGATCCAATGGGAAATGTCTTTCAACTATTCCATGCTTCTCACAGGGCAGTTAATACGTTTCATGATAGATGCATGTGTGTGAATGCATGAGCATAACTGACTATAGTAACCAGACAGACTACACCAAGAACACTGTGTCAGTAAGCATTAGTGCTCCAAACAACCTCTGCTGAGCATTAACAGTATTTTAAAAATATTTTCTTTACATATTTATGCATGTGTGCTAGCACACACAGTAATATTCTTAAAAGATACTTGGTATTATGTGCAATGAACAGCACTGGAAACTGTTACAAAGAAAAAACTTTAGAGATTTGAATTGATGCTGCCTTATAATGTGCTCAGAACTATAACCAGCTTTGAAGCCACGACTTACTTGACTTCAATGTTTTATGTCCGTAAAAAAGTCCAGCTTTCTAATATACCATTTCATAAAAAATTTGATGCAAATCCAGCAATATACATCATAGTCAAAGCATTTTCTTGCATATGCTGTTTCACAAGTGAAACTACAAACCAGCAGGTATCTTCTAGTAACACTAGATAACAATTATATTTATGTGCATAAGCAAAAGACTGATCTGGTCTATTTATGCAGGACTTCCAGGATTTTTAGACAAACATAGACATAAAATCCTAAAGTAAGGCTGCTGACATTTTTCTTTCATAGAATTGGCATTTCTGAAACAAAGGGCTAAGCAACATAATTGTTTTAGAAAAAAATAATAAACAAAGACCTACTTAAAAGGATGGTCTTCAGAAGAAAAAGCATGAGAAAAGGTGGTGGGGAGAAAATGTTAGAGAACTTTACAGTAGGCATTCATCATCAGGAAGAATTTATCAAGTTGACCGTCTCACCTTGATACATTGCTTGTGCTGCTGTCCAGGCAAAGAGACTTGCAATACCATTAGCTCGATAAAGAACTTCAATCTGATCCTCAAGACATGCTCTTACAAACCTCTCCCGTTTTAGTTTATCAGGAATAAGATGAAACTGTGTGTGTCCATAACAGCATGGATCTGCTACCTTAGATCCTATGTTCCCCAAAATGAAAAAAATTGAAAGTCAGTCAAAGAACACTCTTCATTATGCAAACAAACATGTCTTTACTATCAGATTACAAACGACAGGAGGTTAGAACCTCTACTGTAGATCTGTATGTTGAGATTCCTCCATTCCTGAGTGAGACTGGAGGGCTTGCCCAACTCCAAAAGGCAAGAGTTCACATACCAGTATGTCCCTGAGAGGATGTATCAAAATTCAAAGCCAGTTTTCTACTAATTTTCTATTCAATCCAACTCTTTCAAGCAGATCTGGACAGAGTACCATATGTACAGGAGGATGCTACTCCCCATTGCCTAGCTGACATAGAATCTCAACAGAGACTTATATACTATATATATTTATATACTATAGTTATATGCATAAATATACAAATTTTTTTTCTGCTGATGGGAGGAGAAACGTCAGGAGCTGGTGTTTGTTTTGAGGGGTTTTTTTGTTGTTGTTGTTTTGATTTTTTACACAAAAAAAGTAGTTAACATTTCAGCACCAGAAACTCTTACCTATATATACCTTGTTTTCATACTGCCTTTTGAACAATGGCAGTTTGGATGGCTTATGATCAATAACAGGAACATCTCCAAGATCTGACTCCAGTGGTACAATCTTGAAGGAAATAGAAGAAAGAAAAGCCATGACGTAAGTCACGTTTTTGACATCAGGCCTCACATCATATGCCACTTTCTAGTCAGACAGCAGAAGGTGTAAGTCTTGCTTATATACACCATATATATATAACTTTAACTGAAATTCATTTTTTGCAATGGAACTTCTTGTCTTGTGGTGACTGCTAGTACACAAATTTTATATTGATGTCTGAATTTTCTGCAATACACAAAAAACATTGTGTGAAATGGTGCTAACGAAGCTGCCACTGGGTACCATCTTCAAAATCACAATCCGCTTCAGTAGAAGATGAGCAAAAACATTTCTAGCAACAGCCAATGAACTAACTTGAACCAGCAGAGTGAGTTTACAGGCATTCAGTGTTTTGTACTACGTAAAATTTGTAATCGCCTAGACAGTTCTTCCAAAATGCCAAGGTTTGTAACAGCTGACAGTACTAACCTAATCAAATTGTGCAATTAAGTTAGCAAGGAAAGTTCAGCATTTAAAAAAAGTGGAGCAGTTTTCTGTTGTGGTGGACACTGGGCAACAGAGACTCTCACAGGCTACACAATTACCATTGTATAAACCTACAAGAAACAGATTAGAAGATGGAATCAGCTTCCAGAAAACTGAGCATTCAAGAAAACTGTTAAGCAGTACTAACAGGTAACAACACTCACATTCAGATTATACCTGCTTCTCCTTCTCCTTCATTTCTCGCATTCTCCTCCACTGAGCACAGAACATTCCACACCACATTTCTTATTCTTGCCTCCACTTACATAAAGTTAAAAACTCCATTTAATTAAGTGTAACAACACGCATTTTATCTAAAGCACAAAGATGACCAACTTGAAGTTCAGAAGACTGCTCAATATGTACAAAGCAGTTACCAACAACACAGTAAGTGCCTTACTACTTGAAAAATGCACAAGTGTGCTACATGCCTAATTAACCGGGTCCTCGGCATAGCACCTACTGCCGGGTTTCAGTGACTGTCAGAAACCTAAGTGGAAATACACGTAATTAATTTGCTGTTGAAAATATCCACACCTCTGGAAGTTGCTTTGGTACACGGATCTGGACGTGTGGTTTATCATCTATCTGAAATCGCACAGGATCAACTCTACCCTTTCGATGTCCATGAACAACAACTTCCTCACCATGATGCCAGTAATAGTTAACCTCAGGTTTTAGATCTGAAACAGAACAGAGGGATAGAGAGAAATAGAGATTGCCCCTTTGCATTTAAAACCCTCCCAATCCATGTCCTGCAGGTGCAGTGAAACAGAAAAATCAAAATCCACTCGCACCACGTGGGACGAT